GTCGGTCCCCTCACAGTGTCTCCATTGTACGTTCTGAGGGTCACCTTCATATCTGATTCCAATTAATCAGCTTCTCCAAGAGTTAGAATGTTGGTTTCAAGTGGCTGAGCCATAAAGTGGCTTTCTTCTTTTCATCTTCAGAGCTGGCCCAATAAGTGTCAGTTAGTTCTTTGCTGGCTAATTGACACCTAACAAACAACAAGTGTAGATAGCCCTGGCCTGTTGGTCTTGACTGGAAAAAGGCCAGCTTCGAGGAGCTGGAGCAGGAGAGGCAAGGACTGGGGTGTGGCTAGAAAGACCAAAAGAGCCTAGAACATTGTGGGCTGTCAGTGAGCCAGGATGTCCTGGAATCAGCCACCCTACAGAGGCCTCCAAAGATCAGGACCACCTGACAGGGCCGTGATGCAGTCGAACGGGGACTGATAAACACATAACTGATGGTTCCATCATCTCCTAGAGAAAGTGGCCTTATCCCTGCTTCGTAAATGGAGACTCTGACATGCATCCAGGGGCACCCTGGCAATGAAAAAAAAACCACTAGAACCCAAGAGAGCCCCTGGGCTTATTTTTGGTTCCTCTGAAAACGAGCTTTGGCTAGATGCTAAATTCAGTTCAAGACCTAGTGAGTAGTTTCTGTGTGTCTGACATTCTTAGGCACTGTGGGAAAATTGTAGCAGTCAGTTCTGCGAAGCAAGATGTGGACACATTTGACTGTTAAGAAACAGTATACTGGCTCGGCCCCTGTGGCTCAAGTGGCTAAGGTGCCAGCCACATACACCTAAGGTGGCGGGTTTGAATCCCCAGCCCGGGCCCGCCAAACAACAATGATGGCGGCAACCAAAAGATGGCCAGGCGTTGTGGCGGGCACCTGTGGTCCCAGCTACTTGGGAGGCTGAGGCAGGAGACTCGCTTGAGCCCAGAACTTGGAGGTTGCTGTGAGCGTGATGCCATGGCACTCTACCCAGGGGGATAGCTTGAGGCTCCGTCTCAAAAAAAAAAGAAACAGTGTACCCAGCCAGGTGTGGTGGCTCATGCCTATAAACCCAGCACTCTGGGAAGCCGAGGCAGGTAGATTGACTGAGCTCATGAGTTCGAGACCAGCCTGAGCCAGAGGGAGACACCATCTCTAAAAATAGCTGGGCCTTGTGGTGGATGCCTGTAGTCCCAGTTACTCTGGAGCCTGAGGCAAGAGAATTGCTTGAGCCCAAGAGTTTGAGGTTGCTGTGAGTTATGAGGCCATGGCACTCTACCAGGGACAACAAAGTGAGACTGTGTCTCAAAACAAAAAAAGAAACAGTATACCTGAGGATTGCTTGAGCTGAGGAGTTTGAAACCAGTCTGAGCAAGAGTGAAACCCTGTCTCTACTAAAAATAGAAGAACTAGCAGGGCGTTGTGGTAGGCACACAACCTATAGTTACAGCTATAGGCCTCAGAAAGCAAGAGGATTGAGCCCAGAAGTTTGAGGTTGCTGTGAGGTAGGCTGGCACCATGGTGCTCTAGCCTGGGCAAATTGAGTGAGACTGTCTCAAAAAAAGCAGTACACCCAGATATCCATCAAATATGGCTGGGATATACTCTAACCACACAATGGAGTATTATTAGGCCATTAAAGGGGATGAAGTAATATTACTTGCTGCGACCTGGAAGAACTGTGACCCTTTTTTACTAAGTGAAAGAAGCCGGCCATGGAAGACCACCTGTTGTATGCTTTCCCTTGATATGAAATATCCAGAAGAGGCAAATCTATAAACATAAAGCAGGTTAGTGAGTGGATGCCGGGCCTCGGGCTAGGGGATGGGGAGTGACTGCTGTGACTATGGGGTTTCTTTAAGGGGTAGTAAAAATATTCTGAAGTGACGTTGTGGTGATTGTTGCGCAACTCTGAATATACTAAAAACCATTGCATTGAAAGTATTTTCAATGTATGAATTTTACAGTATGTGAATTATCTCTCTGATGTTTTAAAAAAACAATATAAATTGATATGTAATTGAATACAAATTTGTGTGCTTCAATTTTTTTTTTTTTTTTTTTGCTCACAGAACCTCAAACTCTTGGGCTTAAGCGATTCTCTTGCCTCAGCCTCCCAAGTAGCTGGGACTATAGGCGCCCGCCACAATGCCCAGCTTTTTGGGGGGTTGTAGCTGTCAATGTTGTTTGGCAGGTCAGGGCTGGATTCGAACTTGCCAGCTGTGGTGTATGGGCTGGTGCCATGCTTTAATTTTTTTTTTTACAGAGAAATTATTTTGCAGAATAATTTCTATTTTACAGAAAATTAGAGACACAGAAGCCTTGTTGGATATTTTGGGTGACGGACTTTGAACAGTCTGGGGCAGGAGGGCTTTGGAGAGATGTTGATAGTCCTTAGCAGAAGAAAGCTTTGTTATGTCAGGAGGGTGCAGCCAGCCTGGGAGCAGAAGGCCTCTGGAAAGGAGAGTAAGGTGACCTGGTGATATAGGTGGAAGAAGATTTCAGGGGACCTTCAGGGCTAAGCAGGGATGTGGATTTTATCCTATATACAATGTAGAGTCTAGACCTGGAGAATAATTTAACAACACATCAAGGCCTGGGAGCAGCAGAGCCAGTGTGAGCTCCAGCCACAGGGAGGCCATTTAGGGTGTTATCCTTTGGTGGTGCCGGGAAAGGGAGAGGGTGAAGCCGTATGAACCACTTTTGGACAGGAACTTAGGTCTAAAATTGCATCAAGAGCAAAGAAAGCTGGTTCTTGGACGCCTTTTATAGATCACATAGAAGAGTTTTTTTGTTTGCACATGCTGGTTGGGTCAGGTGAGAAGTTAATGGATCCAGGCGAGAGTCAGCCAGGAGTGGGTCTCCTTTGCTGCTTTCTTGGGGGGGGGGGAGGTTCTTGCTACGTTTTTGCCTTTGAGACAACTTTTTGTCTCTGGGGCCTGTCGAAGTAAGCTTTGTGATGCCAGAGACTAAGAATTTGCGTCTACTGTTGACCAAGGCTCAGCCCCTATAGATCACGGAGCTGCAAAATATTTAATCAGTGAGGTCTTTGGAGGGAAATGATCTGATCAATAGGAGTGTCTGCTGTGTTCCTCAAGGGTCGAGTCTAACATGCTTTTCTTCTACCTTCACTTGGCAAAACCACAAGCCATCAGAAATGGAAAGAATAACTTTTTCTAAGACCCACAAAAGCTTATTTTTAATCACTTGTGTGGCCTGCTCACCTTTGTGGTATCCCTCTTGAGTGGATTCACAAAAATAAACTGGGCTAGTGGTTTCTGAACCCTTTAAAGGGCACCCCTGTTTCTGATGTCCTCGTGTTTCAGACAGAGCCCTTGGGGTTAACACAGGCAGGGCCTGCAGCCTCAGCCCCTCCAAGGAAAACCACTCTTACACACCTATTCTCATTGGTAAGGCTCCTAGTGGGAACCTGTTATGCACTTTAGAAAGATGCTCATTAAAATGACTGGGGGTGAAAGAGAAAAGGAAGCATAGGAACGAGGGAAATGAAAAGACAGTGCCTGGTGCGTGTGCTGTTCACTCAGCAAGAGTTAGTGGAACAGCTCTGGGGTGCCAAGCATGGCCCTCAGTGCTGGGGCTTTCCAGGTACTTACCACACAGCCCCACACTGAGGGCTCAGTTGAGAAAGGGGTGTCCTGTGGTGTGACAGTGCACAGGGAGGCCACCTATCCCAGACTGGGAGTCAGAGCCCTCTTCTAGGAGGAACCACCTGCTCTGTGAGAGAGAGGGAGGAGCCAGGCAAAGAAAACCACCGCCCTGTGACTGCCAGGGCCATGGGAGCCACGGCAAAGGCTGTGGGAGAGCAGGTTGTGTTTCAGAGCCCAGGGTGGCGGGGACCTCACAGTTGTTGGTGTGAGCTGCTCAGGGTAAGAAAGGGGACCTCGCAAGGCAGTGGACGGAAGTCAGGTGGAAGGCCTGAGAGGCACCAAGTGTGTGTTGCTGGAGTAAGGAGGGGGCCAGGAATGTTCTTAAACATCCTACGAGAAAATAGGAACTACATTTGCGCCTCGAATGAAGAGAGGGTCTTCAGGAGACAGGGAGCAGCCTAGGAGGGCAGCATCAGTTAGTTCTGTCAGGCCCAGGCCTTCTTGGACACATGCATAAAGTGCTGGTCAGGAGAGGAATGGATGCTCTCAGCTGTGTGGGATCTTGTGTGCTGGAAACACCCCAGGCAGGCCCAGTGCTGCTACCCAGGGACAGGGAAGTGATGGGGTGGGGGTGCAGGAGGATGTGCCTGGCCAGCGGGAGGAGGAGAAAGGAGCTTTGTGTGCAGCCACTTCTGCGGCCTGAACAAGTGTGGGCTTGGTGGCAGCTGTGGCCTCCAGTCCTAATATAGTGAACAGCTCCAAATCCTCTGGCCTGACACCTGTTAGCAAGAAGTTCCCCTGAGCTGACCTCTCCTTGGGCTGTCCCTCCCACACGTGCATCTGAGTGGCAGGGGGGCCAGGCCCCCACCCTTGAGAACCACGTGAGGGCCCCCTCCCCCATCCTCCAGTTGGCAAATTGCCCCCTCTCCATTTGGGCAAAGCCTGCTGGGTTTTTGAGGGCCAAGGTTTGTTCAGCTGTTCCTAGGGGAAGGGGTGAGGCTGAGCTAGCCAGAGGAACTGGGGTGTCCCCCTGGGAAGCAGCCGTTCTTGGCAAAGAACAGAACTTGTGTGGAAGGGACGCTCTGGACACAAAGAAGGCTGACCTTTCCCCCCTGGATGGAGGGAAGTGAAATGTGATCTGCTTAATGCTGCTACAGCTGCTTCCTAACTTCACCTCTTTCTTCCTTTGACTTTTGGAGGGGTGGGGCGGAGGAGAGATAGGGCTTCCCAGGTAGCCAGCTGTTCTGACTGACCCATATTCCGACTCCCACCTGCCCAGCTCTCTAGCCTCAACTAAGCCATGCCGGGATGACGCGGCTCGGTGTGGCCGGCATAACTCCCTTTCTCTCTTCCCTCTTCCCCTCTCTTTCTTCCTCTCCTGTCTCCTGGTCCCCCTTCTGGGCCCCCATGGGTGGCTGCAGCCCAGCCCTGGGGAGCCCCTGTGGAAGTGGAGTCCCTCCTGGTCCACCCTGGTGACCTGCTGCAGCTTCGCTGCCGGCTGCGGGACGATGTGCAGATCATCAACTGGCTGCGGGACGGGGTACAGCTGGTGGAAAGCAATCGCACCCGCATCACAGGGGCAGAGGTGGAGGTGCGGGACTCCGTGCCCGCGGACTCCGGCCTCTACGCTTGCGTGACCAGCAGCCCCTCAGGCAGCGACACCACCTACTTCTCCGTCAATGTTTCAGGTTGGTAGCAAAGCCCCGCCCTGGCCTTCTCCCTAGACCCATCATCCCTCCAGCCCTCTCTGCCAGTTTTGGGGGAGAGATGAACCTACTCCCCTTCCATGATCTGCCCCCACTCTGCTTCCAGAACTGCTGCCCACTAACACCATGCCCTGCCCGCTGCGTGGCTTAGCTCTCAGAAGGGACTGGGTGAAGTGGGCCTGGGCTTCTGGGATCCACCTCGGAGGTGATTGCTGATACTCTCAGGGCCTTGAGACCCTGTGACTTGTGCACCATGACTTGCACAGGTATCAGGGACACTAAGTGGGGCTCGCCCCTCCATCCTATCACTCCTAGGCCCTCTGGACTTGGGACTTGGTTTAGTGCATAGAGCCCCAGGGCATGTCGTGAGGTCCCTACTGTGCAGGGACCCAGGGACACTGGACAATATCTGTCCTCTAGCTTCTAGAACTGTGTTAGGACAGCTGGGGAACCCTAGAACTCTGCTGGGGAGTCTGCCACTTTTAGAATGTGACTTTCATAAAACTAATGTCATGATCTGGGATTCGCCAGAAATCCCGGAAGTGCTTAGGAAGGAGTGAAGAAAGCTGTGGCCTGAGCCCTGATTGGTGACCACACGTGTGTCAGGCCTGTTCTTACCAGGGGTGGGCACTTGCTGGGGAGAGGTGCTGGCAGCTGCTGGTTATGTGGTGGGCTCCTTGTTTTCTCTGGTTAAGGGGGGGCAGCCCCCCAAACTTTAGCAGACCTGTGCCTGAAAAGTTCCTGCTGTAGGCTGTTGCCTTTGGAAATAGCACCTAGCCATAATCTGCTGGGATCTGCCCAGTTTCCTGACGGCCGGCAGTCTACAGAAGGATGTGGCTTCCCTAGCTGCCAGTTCTGAGACCCGGTTCTGGGTAGCACCATGAGTTGGATGGATCCTCTGAGGGCAGAATGGAATTAAAGAGGAACAGCCGACCCTGGGGGAACTACTCAGTGTAATGATTTCAGAGAGGAGCAGTGCAGTGGGCTGTGGAAGGACAAGAACCCTCAGCTCTTAGATGATCAATTTCTGTCCCACTGAGAGAGGTCGAAACCAAGGAAAGAGTGGGCCCAGGAGTCCTTAGGGGAGGGCTGTCCGTGTTCTTCTGTACCTGCACTGGCCTTAATGGGGTGACTGTCAGTGCAGATGGGAATCGAGAGGCCCCTTTGGAAGGCACCTCAGTGCCCCTTCTTCTTCCCATAGATGCTCTCCCCTCCTCTGAGGATGATGATGACGATGATGACTCCTCTTCAGAGGAGAAAGAGACAGATAACACCAAACCAAACCGTATGCGTGAGACACTGTTTCCTACCTTACTGCCCTTTGGGCCTGGGAACTGGGTGTAAGAGGGGTGGAGAGGAGGAGGAGAGGGCACGGTGCCTGCTGTGGAATGTGCTGAGCATTGCTCACAGGTGCGAGCAGACAGGAGAGGCCCTTCCAGGTCCCAGCTGGGCCCTGGCCCCTGAGCCTGACTGCCACTCTCTCCGTCCCTGCCTTTCTCTCGTGGCTTTCCCTGGGCAGCTGTAGCTCCATATTGGACATCCCCAGAAAAGATGGAAAAGAAATTGCATGCCGTGCCAGCTGCCAAGACAGTGAAGTTTAAATGCCCTTCCAATGGGACACCTTACCCCACACTGCGCTGGTTGAAAAATGGCAAAGAATTCAAACCTGACCACAGGATTGGAGGCTACAAAGTAAGTGTGTACGTGTGTAAAAGTTAAAATAAGGAATGAGAAAAACTGAGTTAGCAAATCCTTATTAAATACTTGTTTTAAGTAATGGTTTCTTAACTACATAGGTAATGCATTTAAAAAATTTTTAAATACAAAAAATGCAAATAAAAGTAAAAATCTCTTTTCTGTATATATGGTTTCTAAATAGATAATCACATCATGTGACTGTTATGATTTTCCATCTTGTTTGGTAACCTCATGAGTCTTTTTATGCTGTATTTCAAGCATGTTAGAATGATAACTTTTCAAGGCTACATAAGATCCCATTATAAAAATAGCTCATAATTTAACAAACTATTTTGTGATGTTAGATATTTTCTAGTTTTTCACTTTTATAAATAATGTTGCAGCAAATACACATATCTTCACCCATTTTTTTTGTGCCTCTCCTTAGATACATTGCTAGAAATGAAATTACTGGATCAAAGGGTAGAAGAATTTTTTTTTGGGGGGGGGAGACAGAGTCTTACTTTGTCACCCTCGGTAGAGGCTGTACCGTCATAGCTCACAGCAGCCTCAAACTCTTGGGCTCAAGTAATTCTCTTGTCTCCGCAGACTGAGAAGTTGAGATTACAGGTGCCTACCACAGCACCCAGCTATTTTTAGAGATGAGGTCTCGCTCTGGTTCAGGCTGGTCTCAAACCTGTGACCTCAGGCAGTCCACCCCCCTTGGCCTCCAAGTGCTGGGATTACAGGTGTGAGCCATTGAGCCTGGCCTGGGTATGAGTTTCTAAGCCCTTGGTGCACATTGCCCAGCCACAGGCAGTCCCCAGGCTCTGGCAATCTCGGTTCTGTAGGTTTGTTTTCAAGTTGAATTTATATGTAAGTTGGTGCAGGTACATTGTCTGTTACCTGTAATAGCCTCCATTCGTAAGAGTGAGTTATATGTAAGTCAGGTGTTTGTAACTTAGGGACTGCCTATACTTTATTTAAAGAGAAAATTAATTCACCTTTCCCACAGCAGAGTATGTGAATGGCAGATTCACTATACCTTTGCCAATAGATTTGACAGGTGAGAGCCCAGTAGTCCCCCCCTTACCTGCTGTCTTGCTGTCTGTGGTTTCAGTTACCCACAGTCAACCAAGGACAAAAAATAGAGAAATTCAGTACAAAACATCTTTATTTTGAGAGAGACCATGTTTTTTGTTTTTTGTTTTTTTTGAGACGGAGCGGCAAGCTATCCCCTTGGGTAGAGTGCCATGGCATCACGCTCACAGCAACCTCCAACTCCTGGGCTCAAGCGAGTCTCCTGCCTCCGCCTCCCAAGTAGCTGGGACCACAGGTGCCCGCCACAACACCTGGCCATTTTTTGGTTGCAGCCATCATTGTTGTTTGGCGGGCCCAGGCTGGGGATTCGAACCCGCCACCTTAGGTGTATGTGGTTGGCGCCTTAGCCGCTTGAGCCACAGGCGCTGAGCCAAGAGAGACCATGTTTACATAACTTTTATTACAGCATATTATTGTAATTGTTCTGTTTTATTACTGGTCCTTGTTGTTAATATCTTATTGTGCCTCATTTACAGATGGTTTGCAGCCTTTATCATATGGTAAACTATTTTAAATTGCACATGAGGAAGGTGCCCGTAGCTCAGTGGTTAGGGTGCTGGCCGTATACATAGAGCTGGCGGGTTCCAACCCGGCCTGGGCCTGCTAAACGACAGTGACAACTGTAACAAAAAAAAACAGCTGGGCGTTGTGGCAGGCACCTATAGTTCCAGCTACTCAAGAGGCTAAGGCAAGAGAATCACTTAAGCCAAGAGCTGGAGGTTGCTGTGAGCTATGACGCCATGGCACTCTACTGGGGCAATATAGTGAGAGTCTGTCTCAAAAAAATTTTTTTTCAATATAAGTATTGTAACATTCAAACTTGACTTAAAACATAACAAAAGGATAGTGCCTGTGGCTCAGTGAGTAGGGTTCCGGCCCCATATACTGAGGGTAGTGAGTTCAAACCCAGCCCCGGCCAAATTGCAACAATCAAAAAACATAACAAAAGAAACCAGATTGCAAACAAACATGTTTATGGGTTTTCCAAACATAAATAAATGAAATAGTGTTTAGGGAGTAGGGCTCATGCTGATGGCTAGCAGGAAGTAACAGAGTGAATAAATTGCACCTGAGCCTTCTGTTCACCCTGTTAAGCAGCTAGTAGATATAGGTTCGGTTACTAGCCGAGGATCTTGAGATGCATCACCTGTGGCTAAGGCAGGCTGCGGTATTTCATTGTTCTTTTATGTTTTATTTCGCTCATTGTTAGAATCGTCATATGGTAATAAGCAATTTTCATTTCCTCTTGTATAGATTGTCTGTTGTGCCTGTTTCTGTCTGTAGGAAGAACAGCTTCCTTGTAATCCCTCATTAGACTAGCTGGTCATCTGTAGAGTCCCTGTTTTTCTCTTTTCTCACCTGGTTTCTCTTTTCTGTGCATCAGAAAAGCAGAGGGGCTGGGTGCAGTGGCTCCTGCCTCTGTGCCCGGATTATAGGGTTACACCTATAATCTTAGTACTCTGGGAGGCCAAGGCGGGAGGATGGCTTGAGTCCAGGAGTTTGAGACCAACCTAAGCAAGAGCAAGACCCTGTCTCTACTTAAAATAGAAAAAATCAGCCAGGTGTTGTAGGTGCCTGTAGTCCCAGCTGCTCAGGAGATTGAGGTAGGAGGATCCCTTGAGCCCAGGAGGTTGAGGTTGCCATGGCTCATGATCAAATCACTGCACGCTAGCCCAGGTGACAGAGCCAGACTCTGTCTCCAAATCCAAACAAAAGAAAAGAAAAAAAATATCAGAGGTTTTCTGACCAGTCAGGGTCCTTTCTTTGGGGACATACCCACACCACACATATACTCCCTGTGTTTGACCAGCTTCAGCTCAAGTATCCCCAGATCTTAAGATCAGACCCCTTGATTCTGATACAAAAGCAAAACAGGACTTACCTAAAAAGAAAATTGTTGCTGCCCGCCCCGTCACCTGAAGCAGTAGTTACAGAGATAGATGGCTAGGATAACCCCAGCAGAGACATTCCCTGTTGCTTTCTTTGTTTAATGAGCTAGTAATAGAGTTAATTTTTTTTTTTTTTGAGACAGTCTCAAGCTGTTACCGTGAGATAGAGTGCTATGGCATCACAGCTCACAGCAACCTCCAACTCCTGGGCTTAAGCAATTCTTCTTGCCTCAGCCTCCCAAGCAGCTGGGACTACAGGCGCCCACCACAACACCCAGCTATTTTTTGGTTGTAGTTGTCATTGTTCTTTGGCTGCCCCGGGCTTGATTCGAACCCACCAGTTCTGGTATATGTGGCTGGTGCCTTAGCTGCTTGAGCTACAGGCGCTGAACCGAGTTAATGATTTTAATAAGATGAAGAATACAGCATTATCAGAGGAAGGTCTTGAGTTCCTAGAAAAATTGCTTTGTTTTTTAATATCTTTTTTCATTTTACAACTTAAGTGGTTTAGAAATAAGTTTGTTTCCTGAGCTGAAAATTGCCATCAACAGCCAAGTGGTTCCTTTGTTTTTGCTTTTGTTTTGTTTTTTGAAACAGAGTCTTACTCTGTCGCCCTGGGTAGAGTGCTGGGGCATTAGCCTACCTCATAGCAACCTCAAACTCCTAGGTGTGAGCAATCATCTTACTTCAGTCTCCCAAGTAGCTGGGACTATAGGCGCCTGCCATGAACCCTGGCTATTTTTTGGTTGCAGCCGTCATTGTTGTTTGGCGGGCCCGGGCTGGATTTGAACCCGCCAGCTCAGGTGTATGTGGCTGACGCCTTAGCCACTTGAGCCACAGGCCCTGAGCCTGGTCTCAAACTCTTGAGCTCAAGCAGTCCACCTGCCTTGGCCTCTCAGAGTGCTGGGGTTACAGCCATGAGCCACTGCATCCTGCAAGCCGTGATTGTTGCCTTAGGTCTCAGGTTCCTTTGACAATGGGATGAAAACTCTGGCCCTTTTCCTTAGACAAACACATGGACTACCCTTTTGCATATCATTTCAGAGGGACTGTCGGTCTTCTAAAGTCCAGCTAGAGGCTTCTGGTTAAGAATTTTAGGTTAATTCTTCATAAAACAAAAAACTTCCGTGTAAAATCTGTTTTGAAAAGACTCCCTCTCTTTCAGAAAGAATAGGAAAACATTCTCATTAATTTGCCAAGTACTTACCATGTTCAAGGCATCACGCTTTAAATGGTGTGAGACGGTGTCCTGTCCACAAAGGGCTTCCAGTCTAACAGGCAGCCACATTTCTGGGAGCACCCCTCGTAGAAGGAAGGGTAATCAGTGACTCAAACAGAGGGAATGGTGAAAACAGTTTTGGCCTGAGATTCAGCTAAAGATAGTTTTCGAAATGACATGTCAAGGGGAGTGCGGGCAGACTCTTAGCAGCAGTGCTGTTTCAGGCGTGGGTATGGCATGGACAGAGGTGTGAAAGTTAGCAACATTCCTGATGTATTCAGGAGAGTTGGCCAAAGGCACATTCGTCCAGATCACAGGTGGCCTTGAACTCCATGGTACAGAGACTTCCAGAGTCCTTTTGCCCATTTGCCAGTTTTCCAGAGTGTGAAGGGACTAAGGGTGGAGCACTCTGCACCTTGTCCTACCTAAGACTGCAGCTTGGGGCTGTGTGCTGCTCTGATTTGGAAGGCAGGTACCACAGGGCACCAACCTTCCCTCCAGACCCTCAGTGCAGACCTCTGGTGTGTTTACCCTCAGGTCCGTTACGCCACCTGGAGCATCATAATGGACTCCGTCGTGCCCTCTGACAAGGGCAACTACACCTGCATTGTGGAAAATGAGTATGGCAGCATTAACCACACCTACCAGCTCGACGTCGTCGGTAAGATGGCAAAGGCAGCGAGAGGAGCGAGCTTGGAGCTTAGAGAGGGGAGGTTTGGAGAAAACAGCTGCAGTGTCCAGGTTTCTTCAGGGTACCGTGTGACATTGGGCAGTTACTAGCTCTGTCACCTGGAATAGGCCACTCTCCCCATTGGAGCCTCACTTTTCTTACCTATAAAATAGAGTTAAGAGGATCAGACAGTGATATGTCCCTGTTTGTCACTATAAAACAGGAGGTGGTATTGCTGGTGCATCCTAAAAGAGGTGGCTGGTGCAGTTATGTTACATGTGGCTTAGTATTCATGACCAGTCTGGGCAACCTAGCAAGACATAATCTCTTCTCCCCCCCAGAAGAAATAGCCAGCCAGGTGTAGTGGCATGAACCTGTAGTCGCAGCTACTTGAGAGGCTGAGGCAGGAGCATCCGTTGAGCCCAGGGGTTTGAGGCTGCAGTGAATTGTTATGACACCACTGTACTCTAGCCAAGGAGACAGAGTGAGACCCTGTCCCCCCCCATCCCCCTCACCCCCCCAAAAGTGAGCTGGGCATGGTGGCTCATACCTGTAATCCTAGAACTGTGGGAGGCCAGGGTGGGTGGATCACCTGAGCTCAGGAGTTCAAGACCAGCCTGAGGAAGAGAGAGACCCTGTCTCTACTAAAAATAGAAAAATTAACCAGGAGGGCACCTATAGTCCCAGCTAGAAAGGCTGAGACAAGAGGATCACTTGAACTCAGGAGTTTGAGGTTCCTGTAAGCTGTGATGCATAACAGTAGCCACTGCACAGTGAATGCCAGAAAGGCCCTGGGCTCTTTAAATATTTTGCTAGGCACCACTGCAAGGCTGGTATTATCCTTCCAGCTGTCCCAGCTGCACGTACAGCTGCAGGTTAGGGACCTTGTAAATGCAGAGCTCCAGATCCTTGTCCCTTTGAGGTCACCACAGGAGATACGAGGAAGAACTCGTATTCCTTGGGGTGATTGCTACAACCTGTTCCTTTTAGAGGTTCTGAATCTCATTCCCTAGAGATCTTAAGGTGCAGAGTCTCACAGCCAGTGTCTATCTTGGTCTTGAAGATACGGTGTAAAAAAGAAATTGTGATCCAGAAGGTCTAGGGTAGAGGCTGAGTGTCTGCATTTCTAACAAGCACCTAGGCGATGGTGGTGCCAGTGTTCCTGGAACACACTTTGGTTTTTTTTTTTGGGGGGGGGAGGTTGCTTTTTGTTTTTGAGACAGAATTTCATTATAGTGCCCTCAGTAGAGTGCTGTGGCATCATAGCTCATAACTCCTGGGCTCAAGTAATTCTCTGGTCTCAGCCTCCCAGTGGCTGGCTATTTTTAGAGATAGGGTCTCACTCCTGCTCAGGCTGGTCTCCAACTCCTGAGCTCAAGTAATCCACCCATCTCAGCCTCCCAGAATGCTGGGATTACAGTCACTAGCCACAGTGCCCGGCCCTGGAACACACGTTGAACAGCAGGAATCTAGAACTGAGTCTCTGTGGTTTTACTTAAGAATAAGGAGGCTGTGTTGAAGTCTAAATTATGACAGTATCCATTAAGGCAAGAGAGAGATTTGCTACACCTGTAAATATGGATGCTTTGCATGGGAGGATGGCTTAGGGCTGAATACAGGTTTCTCTTCTCCTAGTTCAGGTTTGAGGGGCTGGGGCTCAGCAGAAGCATTGGGAAGTGCATTGCCCACCACTGGGAAACTTAGGGGAGCTGCGGGGGCACATAGTGGTGCCTAACAAGCCTGTCCTGTCCATTCTTCCCAGAGCGATCCCCACACCGCCCCATCTTGCAGGCAGGGCTGCCTGCCAACAAGACAGTGGCCCTGGGCAGCAACGTGGAGTTCATGTGCAAGGTGTACAGTGACCCCCAGCCTCACATCCAGTGGCTGAAGCACATCGAGGTGAACGGGAGCAAGATTGGTCCCGACAACCTGCCTTATGTCCAGATCCTGAAGGTAATCTTGGCCTCGGTGTCCGGGCCAGCATGCTGGGATGAAGCTGGTGTCTCCAGGGGACTCACCTTCCTGTGGGCAGGCTCAGGGCCTGGATCAGGGCTCACTCCTTACCTTTCGGGCACACATGCCTTCTTAGTAGGGGTATAGCCGTGTTCCCCAGGACTAGCAGCAGAGCACAGAGTTGGGGTGAGCTGGGAGCCGAGGGCTGGGGGCCAGCCCTGCTGGTTTCCAGAGAGCTTTGAAAGCAATGTTACTGGGGCTTTGGGGCCAGCTGCTCCAGGACAGAGTGTGGATTCCTGCCTTTTGATTGCCCAAATCCTTTACAGAAAGCCTTTCCTGGTCTTGGCCCCGCTTTCTGAGTTAAGGATCATTCTGGCAGTTGTGGTGAATGAAGGCATGTCTTGTATGGAACTGGAAAAACAAATGCCACATAGAAACTCTAAGCTGTATGAGGAGTAATGGCATTTTCTTCCTTTCTCCTCTTACTCCCAGACGTTCCCTGTTTGTCTTTCCCTGAATGCTCCATTAATCCAGGGAAGGTAATTGCCTAAATCTCCAATGGATCTTGCAACAGGAGATTACCAGAGTCTGGGAGAGTTGTTCTCTTCCTTGTCCCAGAGTCAGACTCCATCCTCCCCTGGCTTGGCTGTATCAGAGATTCACTGGCCATCTGTCATCCCTTCATTGCTTGTGCTGAAACTGCTCTGCAGGACATGGCCTGGCCGCTGTGTCCATTCACAGCCCCTGCCCCAGTCCTGGCAGAGGGGTTTGAACACAGAACAGTCAATCCAAAGCAGTGGGATTTTTTTCCCCCCAGTCAAATGCTTTGGACTTTTGCAGTCTGTTTTGTTCTCCTAAAAAGGGAAAGATGGTAAATCTCACTTAATGTCTCCCTTGCCTCAACTTCCTGCCCACCTGGAAGGCACATGGGGGCATAGCACGACCACATCACAGTGTTTGCCCAACTGACTAGCCTGTGTATCATTGGTTTGTTCCAGCATTCGGGGATTAATAGCTCGGATGCCGAGGTGCTGACCCTGTTCAATGTGACAGAGGCCCAGAGCGGGGAGTATGTGTGTAAGGTTTCCAATTATATTGGTGAAGCTAACCAGTCTGCGTGGCTCACTGTCACCAGACCTATGGCCAAAGGTAATGGGGAGATGGATGGGACGCTGTGCTGGGAATTGGATGTAGGCCCCAAGCTGCTGGCACACGTGCCCCGCCAGTCTTTCTCGTCGTCCTGCTGTGTTCCTAGTGCCAAGAGCCATGGAAAAATACCTGGCCTGGGAGGCTGGTTTGGTTTGGTCTGTGTGTTGGTGTCTGCCGGCTCCCTCTGTACCTTTTGTGCGTTCCTTAGCCGTGTGTGTATCTGATCTGTGCGTGGTCTCGTGGGTACACAGTCTTTGCTGCATCGTGAATGATGCTTCACATTAGAAGTGTGAGCCGTGGGTAGGAGAATGGGCGGGGCTCCGCCTTACACACCCACATCCACAGGCTGTGTGTACGTGCCTGCGTGTGAGGCTGCAGAGCCCTTCCCTCCCTCCTGTGTGTTCCCTCCGACTATCTGTATGTGAAACCAAACAGCCCTTGCCCGCTGGGCCCCATTTCTCCATGCTGTCCGCTGCCCGCATGCTCAGATGGGCCCATGGCTGTCAGCATCTGGTGAAGGGTCGTAACCAGCCATCATCTTCTCAGGTCTGCCGGAGTTCCTCCCTCACCCTCTTCCTCTAACAGGTTTCGCTGCCTGGTGGTTTTTTGTTTGTTCCGTGTGGCAGAGGAGACACTGGGGAGCATTTCTTCCTTCGGTTTTCCCCCCACCTCTGTCTCCCTCCCTTTCTCCAGGTCTCTTAGAGGTCTCATGCCCTGTGCTTGTCCATTTTGCTTCCATTGTCTCTTCTAGACTGCCGGAGTTAATACCACCGACAAAGAGATGGAAGTGCTTCACTTAAGGAATGTCTCCTTTGAGGACGCTGGGGAGTATACGTGCTTGGCGGGTAACTCTATCGGACTCTCCCACCACTCTGCATGGCTGACCGTTCTGGAAGGTATACACTGTACTTCTCCTCTCGATGTCCTGGCCTCATCGCGGGCACGGGGGGAACATGCATTGTAGAGCTAGGGGAGACACAGAGGACCGGGGTCCTGCTCCGGCTCTGAGGGCTGCGTCCTCTTGGCTCATGCAGGAGCTGCCCTAGTTTTGCAGGCACATGGAGGCGCCTCCCGTGCACCTACCTCTGGTTCTCCCTTGGCCTGTGCAATGCATGCATGGGGAAGGGTTTGACTTGGAGCTGAGGTCTCCACCAAGTGCAGGTTCCTTCCATCTTGGGTCCAGCAGCCTTCCCTCCTCCATGTGGTAC